CTGGGGCTTTTGCTCCTCCGCAGCCTCCCCCTTAGCCTTCTCTTGGCTCCTGAACCCAGCAACCTGGCAGGAAAAGATAAATACTAGGCCTGCCTCCCCACCCCTGTGGATCTCATAACAAGGCAACAGTTTCCAGGGACAGAAACTGGATTTCAGGATTTGGCAGGGGAGGGGGAGGGGAGAGGGAGGGGAGTGTTGGGGTGGGTGGCATGTTTCCTTTGAGTCCAGGTTGGCTTGCTCCCTTTGGGTGCCTCTGGCTGTGAGCCACGAGGGGTGTATGGCTGTTGGCATGGGCCTTCCCCGTTACCAAGCTCAATTGCCAGACTCATTTGCTGCTCCAGCACGCAGGGGCCTGCATGGAGGGCTTGGCAGCCGCAGTCCCTGGCCCACAGATAGTGTTTCTGGCTTCCCATGACCCTCCATCCTGACCCCTTCCAGGCAAAGGCTGAGGTGGGCTTGAACAGGGAGTCTGTTGGTGCTTCTGAGCCCCGTGGCTCACTATTCCCTCCCATGCAATGTGACCCATCTTAGTGACAAGTACGTGCACATTCCACGAAACCCAACTCAGCATGTGGGAAGCCGTGCTTGACACCTTTCCATCCTCCTCTCCAGTGTCTATCCACTCAACAGTCAGGTGGCCCCCAGCTGACCAGTAAGTCCCCCATTCCCAGACCATCCATCACCCAGTGGTTACTGATCACTTTCTAAAGTCAGCTGTCACTCCAGCTGTGGGGATGAGGAACACCCGGGACAGACATCTGCTCTCTGAAGGTGGGGTCCAGTGTGTGTATGCAAGTACATGGGGTGTAGAGGGAGCAGGAACCATAGCAGGCAGGAGGGCAAAGGTTTGGGGGGACAAAACTACGTGGCCATGGGTCCTCCATGGGCCTAGGACATTCCAGAGATAACCTTGTGACTTTGAAACAGAAAAACAAAAACTGGACTTTGCTGGTCCTGAAACCCCCCACAGACCCGGATGTACCTATAAGAGCTAGATACAGATCAGCAGTTGCAAGCAAACAACTACTACTCTCCTAACAGAAAAACTTTTACTCCCCCTCCCCAACCTATCAAACCTACTTAGCCTGTTAACCGGGTGGGACTTCTCAGACCCCAATGTGGGTCTGTGAACTTCCCCTGGGGGGTTGCAATAAAGGCCGCTCCTTATTATCCTAAACTCTCCTTTCAACCTTTCTTTCACCCTGCTTGACTCTTATAAAAACCATCCTACTTGTTTCCTTTTCCACTCCTTAAGCCCAATGGGCATTCTCAGACCTGAGGTATCTGGGGAAGTAGAGCTGGGGTTGCTTGGAGAATGGCCCAGGAGAGGGGTGGGGCTGGAGTGAGAAGTAGGAGTCCTCAGCAAGGGAGTAGGAATGGGTGATGCCACGCAGGGAGGTGTGTGAGTGAGGGGGTCTGGCCCTGCTTGGAGCCCTCAGTACCACTATGGTTAAGGGATAAACTGAAGAAGAATCAGGAAGGTAACTGGGGAAGTCAAGGCAGAGAGATAGAAGAGGAATCAGGAAAGGAGGATGCATGAGGGATCCTCTGGGGCTCTGCTAGAAGGTGTGGGGGGACTTGACTGAAGATCCGTGGGGAACAATTCCAGGAGTGTAGCCCCCAGGCAAGCGAGGGAACCAGGAGGAGCTGCCCAGATTTAGCTGGATTTGTCTGTTGCCCTGGGAGATGTTTGGGACTAGCACACAGGAAAGGTACCTTAAACCTGGGGACCGGGCCCTGGGTTTCAGTCCTGTCTTTGTGGCCTTGCTGTGGGACCAGGATGGCTCCTGTCCCTCTCAGGGCCTCCGCTTCCCGTCTCAAGTCAGTGGCTCTAGCATCCCTGGCCTAGAAGGATTTGAGTCTGGGAGGCGAACAGGGAAGGTTTGTCCCACATCCTGCTTGCAGCCCAGAACCAGAGCAGATGAGGGGATCAGCAGGCTGCAGAGGGTTTAGGGCCAGGCGAGTGGGAGCTGGGAAGGCAGGCGCCAGAGCCCCCCAGGGCTGGTGGGAGGCCTCTCTCCTAGCTTGCTGACATCAGGGCTAGTGAATGTGAAGGGAGTTCATTAGCTCTTACCTCCCTCACAGCCTGGTACTAGGCAGGAGCTGAGCAGGAGGAGGGGAAAGGGGAGAGCTGGAAGGGAGGCTGGAGGGGGTGGCTGTAAGGAGCCCCCATGCCTGGAGCAATGCAGCAGGCCCCCACCTGTCAGGGGCCAGTTCTGGGTGTGGCATCTTCTCCCATCCTGCGTCCTCCCCACTGCAGAATCCTGTCCTTCCCTCTCCTGCCTTCCCTCTACCTCTCTGCCTTCCTTCCTCAGGTTCCTAGCTCAATTCTCCTATTCTCTGCAGCTCCTGATTCAGTGACCTGGCTGCTGAAGTGAGAGGAGGCAGGGAGGCAGTGTGATTCTTACACAGCCTACCTTCCCAGAACTGCAGCGGGCCCCATCTCTGCCCTCCAAAGTCCCTGCTGCAATCCTAGGAGGAGCCCTGCCCTGCCCTGCCCCCAGCAGCCCCTCCCAGAGATCCCTGATAAGATCAGGAGGAACCAGGTAAGCCACTTAAGTCGAGGGAGTGTGGATGGACCCTGGAGAGCCAGTCTGTACATCTGTGGCTGCTTTCTCCCCACTAGGATTCCTGCGCAGAGACCAGGCCAAGCTTCACTCCTGGAGGATGGGCGAGAAGGCTGGGTTCCTGCTTCTCCCATCTCTCCCTGGGCTGTTGTTCCCGACATATGCCCAGTGTGCATCAGTCGTGGACCCAGGGACCAAACTGTGAAGACCCCTGTCACATCTGCCTCACCTGGTCCTCCCATGGGTCCTGCAAAGGAAGGCACTGGGTTGCTCTGACTGAGACCTGACCTTTGAACTCAAGGCTCTAGTGCTCAGACTTGCAGTGGCTATGAACCTTGTGGGGGAGAAGCAGCAGCAGCAGCAGCAGCAGCTCACAGACTCCATCAAAGATCCTATTCAGAGAAAGAATGCAGAGACTGACTTGGCGCTCTCTGTCCAGATGGCTATTTGGATCTCTCACTCTTTCACACACAAGAACGTTCGCATGCACACCCCCACCCCCATCCCACACATGCACACGAGCGCCTTTTGGCACTTAACTTTCTCATGAAATAATTGCTGGAAGGCTCCTTGGATTAGGTAACCCAGTGTTCCTTCCTGTCCCCACGGTGGAGGTAGGGATGGGGAATCGGAGCTCAGGGTCTGTTGGGCTGATCCAGCTCCCATGGGGCGGGGCAGCCAGTCCAGAGGGTCTGTGGCTCCCAATGTCTTTGCAAGTTGAATGCCACAGGAGCCAGCCTTTGGGCTCCAGTTCCTGTGATCTTCTGTACCTGTCCAGTCACCAGGCCGCCTGCAGGTAGTTCAGGTACAGGAAGGAGAAGGCTAATCAGAAAAGGGTTTTTTTTTTTTTTTTTTTTGCACAAAGAAAGATGGGATGTGCCCATTTCTGTTTTAATCAGTTTCATAACAGACAGGGAAACTTAGTCTCTTTGCCCAGTCATCATATCTTAAAGTAACAACTGTTTCCATTCTTCCTTCTTTTGTGGTTGGTGGGGGTAGGGTTTGGTTTTTTTTTTTTTTGGAAGAGTGGGAAATCTGGGCTTAGGCATGAAAGGAACTTCGAGAGGGATGGGAGTGATAGGACCTGTGTCAAGAGGCCAGTTACCGAGACCCTGATGGAGGGAGGGGATGATTTGTTCTGAAGTTACCCACCGCAGGATTTGGAGATACAGTTCCAGGCACACACTTTTCCTCTTTGTCTGAATCCTGCCTGTCTGGTCACAGGCGTGCAAGATACAGAAATCTTGCTACACAGAGTGGCGCTGGCAGGGGAAAGCAAAGACTCAGTGACAGGATGGGACTTCCCCATCTGTCTCCTTCGTGCTTAGCTCTTATAACAGGTGCAAGAAATTCCAGGCACAGATCCCACAGGTGCGCCTTTGGAGATATTGGTACATGCTGTGGAAAGGATAGTGAGGGACACAGGGTGCGCAGTGGGGAAGTCTCTGTCCCCAGGGGAATCCAGGTCCGGAGCCCTGAGGGAAAACAAAACCAGTGTCCATGGTCTCTAAGAGTCCACTGAGGGGCGAGGCCTTCTTCTGGCCCCTCCCCCAGCCGAACGCAGCCCCCCCCTGCATCCAGGGGAGCCCGCTCCGCTCGGTACTTTTCCTGGCTCCGTATCCCAGAGAGAAGAGTCTGAGCAAACTTTTCTCCTGGTGCCTCGAAGGCAGCATCCTGCACCCGCATTCTGCACCCTCTCGCGGGTCTCGGGAGGCGGGGGTGTCCGAGATTCAGCCCCGGCCCCGCCCCCAGACCACGCCCCCGCGAGGCGCCCAGTCCTGCGGCTCGCGGGGGCCAGCCCCGCCCTCCGCCCGCTCCTCCCGCCGCCCCTCGGGCGAACCCAGCCTGGGGCGGCCAGTCGCAGCGGGGAGCAGCAGAGCTCGGCCTCTTTCGCTTGCTAGGCCCGCTCTCAGACCTGTGCGCCCTGCTCGGCCATGGAACCGAGCCCCGACGCCGAGGAGGCGCGCACGGTGCGGGAGGCGCTGGGCCGCTACGAGGCGGCGCTGGAAGGTGCTGTGCGCGCGCTGCACGAAGACATGCAGGGGCTGCAGCGCGGCGTTGAGCGGCGCGTGGCCGAGGCATTGCGCCTGGCAGGCCCCTTGGCGCGCACGGTGACCGAGTTGCAGCGTGACAACCAGCGGCTGCAAGCGCAGCTCGAGCGCCTGACGCGCCAGGTGGAGGCACTGGGCTTGGCAACCGGGCTGTCCCCCGCGGGCGGCACGCCTGGCACGCCCAGCCCTCCGCCCGCCTCCGGCGTCCCGGACCGGGCGCCCCGTCTGGGCACCGCACGCTTCTCCAGCCACGCCACCTTCTCGCTGTCCGGCCGCAGCCAGGTGAGCCCGGGGGCGCGCGGTGCCCAGGCGTGGGTGCTAGTGCGCTTGCGCCAGAGGAGTGGGGCTCAGTACTCTGCTGCCGCCCGAAGTCGGGACTCTGCACTCGCGCGCCTCTCCTCGGCTGCGGGCTGTACCTCCACTCTCACCTAGAGCGCGGTCCTGGGGCTGGGAAGCACCTCTCTAGAGTTGGAGAGCATTGGAGATTGTCCCAGCCTGCCCGCGGCACCTGACTTGGGCCCCCTCTTTTCTCTTCCGAGTTCTGTCTGTCTCCTCTCGGTCCCATAAGAACTTGAGAGCTGGGGTACGCCTCTTGAGGGTTCGACCGACCGTAGGGCCTTGCCAGCATGTTGGCGCTGGTCTGCAGACCCCCTCCCCACCCCCCTTTCCCCACTCTTCTCACACACACCCCCATTCACAAGCTCGGCATTACGACTTCAATGAGGCCTGACTGCCCCCAGTTATTGATTAACCCCGCCCCTGTGGATGGGAGTGGGGAGGAGGCACTCAGGGGTGCAGCCTGGCAGCCGCATTTGGAACTTGCACGGGTAAATCCCTTAAGGTGAGGTGAAGGGGGAGAGGGGAAACCAGACTTGAGCAGCCTCAGATTACTGGGGTCAGTGACTGGCCAGAGGCCCACACCTCATGGGGGTGGGGTGGGGCACAGGCCGGTGTGGGCTAATCACTCTCCTGGACTCCGGGCCTCCCGGAGCGGGAGTTCCAGTGTTTCCATGGTGTGTGCAGTGGCCCTTAGGTGGGATTTTCCACCTGCGCAGGCACGTGCTTTGGGTGAGTTTCTGGGGGCTGAGTCCGAGTCTTCTGCATCTGCTGCCCCTCCTGGGTTCAGTTGATCACATTCAGATTTCCTTGGGGGTGGGGGCTGCACCTCAGGGAGCCTGGAGGAGCAGAGTGTGTGACCCAACTAGCCCTGGCCTCTCCCTGGAGGGCCCAGGAGGGGAGGGAGTTGGCCCAGGGGGAGCAGCAGCAAGCTCTGGGCAGCGAGCAGGCAGTGGGTATCCCAGGAGGCCTTTGCCCCAGAGTCCCTGGGCTGCTGCTGCTGGTGCAGATGGGGGTGGGGTGAACGGCTGTGTGAGCAATTTGGGGAAGCTAAAAGGACTCACTGCCCAGATGGAGGCTGGTGAGCATGAGCAAGAGGGGTCAGCGTGAAGGCTCCTGGATGCTGGGCAAAGTGGTTGGTCTTTGTCTCAGGGGCTAGAAGTTCTTAAGCACGTGCTGGTGGCAGAGGCCTGGCTGTCCCAGTGCTGTGTAAAGTGTTTGCAAACGAGGATGCATTTAATTCTGACGTAGGGGCCTGACATAATGCATGTCTAGGGTATAAAGTCACCACTGCAAGCTCACCCCATCTAATGAACTTTTATGGGTGGTTCTTGAGGTTTTGTTTTTATTTATTTTGTAAATAGATTTATTGTATTTATTTATGCATACAAGAGCTGGGGTGGAGGCCAGAGATGGGGGGTGGGCTGGGTGAGAGGATTCACCAGAGACCAGAGACACAGTGGGGAGCAGAACAGGCAGATCTACTGAAACACACTGTTGAGGGGGGGCAGCGGGGAGATAGGAGAAGTCTGCTGTGCCATGTGGGCCACCCCCTGGCCAGGGATCAAACTTCACTAGATATATTCATAGTGATGAAAATAGCTTGATAGTGCTGAGACTTAATCCCTTGCTGAGGTCTTATTATTATTATTATTTTTTTTAGATTTTTTTTACTTATGCATACAGACCTGGGGTACAGGCCAGAGGTGCCGGGGAGGTAAGAGGACTCACCAGAAACAGAGTGGGGAGCAGAAAAGGAAGATCAATGAAGTACACTTCTGAGGGAAGCAGCGGGCAGGTCAGGAGAGGTCTGCCACGCCATGTGGTCAGCCCCCCCTCCCCCCAGACCGGGATGGAACTCATGCTGAAGTGGCTTTAGCTTCTCAGTGCTGTCCTTTAACCGGCTGCGCCACCAGGGAGGGCCCTGCTGAGGTCTTATTTTAACATACATTTGCTACTTGTCTGCTCACAGAAGCAGCTGCCCAAGTTTTGAGAGATAACACCTCAGTCATACAGGTGTCTGAGCGCACATACAGATGCTTCAGGCTGCAGATGTACATGAGGACTCTCCAGTCCTTGTGCCAGTGGGACTTGGTCTTTCTTCACCAGGGGTGCGCTAGACCGTTTAGTTGTGGGGGTGGTGAGCTGGGCAGGGGAGGGACAGAACCTCTTGTCTCCAGCAGGCTTCCTCAAGGGTGGTGAGTTGGAGAGGCACTGGAGATAACTTAATGGATGGTCCAAGGGAGAGGGGTGTCTGAGCCGGTGCTGTTTGGAGAGCAGTCTCTCAGGGAAAGGGGTGGGCGAGCGTCTTGGGAAGTGAGGCACAGACAGGAGCCTGGCCGGGGACTGCAGGTTCCAGCCTGGTGGAGATGCAGGTTCCATGTGGGTCACGCTGAGCGTGAGGGCTTGTGGACATCCGGGGAAGCTGGCTCAGAGCAGGTGGAGTCTGGATCTGGCGCACTGACAGTGATCGAGGCTAGGGTGAGGGCAGAAATCAGGGCAGGCTGCTGGTTAAAGCCCCAGCGTGGGTGAGGTCTTCAGGGCAGTTGTGCAGAGTAGAGGGTGAAGCTGGAGCCCCCCCCCCGCCCCCTGCCACGGTGGGTAACGGCCAGGGAGCTAGGAGGCCCTGGAGAGCCCGCTCTCAAAATGGGGGTTCCTTTCAGAAGACAGTGCTGGCTGCAGGTCAGCAGGGATGCTGCAGCCCGTTGGGGGATGTGCTGGAGGCAAGGGATGAGGATGGGGAGTAGTATGTGAATCTCAGCAAGGCGGCAGAGAGCGGGGACCACGAGTAGAGCTCAGCCCGTGGGTGGAGGGCGTCCGAGGCTCCCTCAACCCTGAGCTCTGGCTCTCTGGGGCGAGGCAGCTCCTCCCGCCCCCACGTCCCCCAGCACTGGTCTCACTTCTCTTGCAGCCTACCTCCCAGTCTGCTGACACGGGCTCCCAGCTGGCTTCCTGGCATTGAGGGGCTTCTGTCCAGGTGCTGTGACTGGCAGCTTGTGATTGGGCACTTGGTTATGAATGGGAGTCAGGGCTCCCGAGCAGAGTGGTCACTTATAGCTGGGTGCTGCCAGTCCGCTGGCCTTTCAAACTCTGGGGTCTGGGTCGCATGGGGTTCTGGGTGTCAGGGCCTCACCTGTGCACAGGAGCCAGTGGTGACTGTGGTCAGGCGTTGTGGAGGCTTGTCATACTCCTCTGTCACCATTAGCGACTCATTTGTTTCCTGCTATTTCAAGCTGGGGACTGACTGCTGGGGAGGTGGTCATACTCAGCATGTAAATATTCTCAGAATTCAATGCAAAAACGGTTAATCAGGGCCCTCCCTGGTGGCACAATGGGTTAAAGCTCAGCACTACAAAGCTAGCTGCACCCATTTTATGAGTTCAATCCCAGGCTAGGGAGGTGACCCACAGGACGCTGCAGACCTCTCCTGACCCGCCCGCTGCTCCCCTCAGCAGTGTACTTCGTTGATCTGCCTGTTCTGCTCCCCACTCTGTCTCTGGTGAATGCTCTTACCACCCCTTAACCTCTGGCCCATATCCCAGTTCTGCATGCATAAATAAATACATTTTTAAAAAATAAACAAACAGTTGATCAAATAATCCTCTTCCAACTACACAATCCTTGACCTTGCTAGGTAGCGAGTGGCCAGGGAGGCTCTGGGAGGCAGGAGAGGGAAGGAGGTGGTGTAGGCGTAATCAGGGAGGACTCCTTGGAGGAGATGTGATTCCTTGGAACAGACAGGACCTGCTTTGGGCACATCTGCTGTGAAGTTTTGGAGGCCTCTCCTCCAGCTGGACCTCTCTTCCTCTGGACCTAATTCAAGGGGGATTGATCCTGTTTGGTCCTTGAGCTGAGTGGGCTGGGAGCTGTTAACAGTGACATCAACCCTCAAAAGTGGGACAACAGCTCATAAAAGTGTCCAGAGTATCCCCTGAATGAGTCCTGGGCTGAGCCACCAGGACCCCATGACTGAGGCAGTGAAGTCCCTCAGGAATGACTACCAGAGGATCGCCATGTCCAGGCCTGGCCGTGAAAGAAACCAGACCCGCCTTATCTGCCTGCCTTTCCCAGACTCTGTGCGATAAGGGAGTTAAATGCTTTAGGGAAAGCTTGAATTGAGTCCTTAAACCTTGGTGTGAGTGAGGCCCAGGACCCTCCCTCTCAGGAGGGAGGGTCCTGGCCACACTTGGCTGTGCTGGGCACAGGCGTGAGTGCCCAAGTCCTCACGAGCCTGCTCATGAGGTAGCACTGAGAGCCCCTGGAATGTTATTCCTCTCCTTAACCGGTGCTCAAAAACTTCCCCAGTCTGAGGTCCCTGAAATCAGACTCCCCTCATCCCTGCCTTGCCCCCAACTTTCTCAGGACTGTGTTCTCTGAGGGGGGACACCCTCCTTTATCAAACAAAGACAGGAGACCATGCTAGAGTTAATTCAGCAGGACCAGTTTCAGCTCCCAGGGCTCTCCAGTGACTTCTGTCCCAGAGGGCCCTTCTCTGGGGCCAAAGCAGGCTGCCCCTAAAGGAGAGCAGCAGGGAGAGTGCTGCCCAGGGCTGCTGCTGGCTGGCGGGACAGGAGAGCTGCTTGCTCAGCCAGCGGGCTCCGGGGCTCAAAGGCTCTGGCTGCTGTGAAGGGCCCGTTGGCATCCTTACTGGGCTCATCCCCCTTCCTCCTCCTAGGAGACAAGTTCGTCCCGAGGTGTCCTCTCTGTCCCCAGGAAGGCCAAAGCGCTTTCTGCACAGGCCCTGTGTACAGATGTGGGGTTGGGGACCCGAGACCTAAACCTGCTATTGCCTTTAGTTAGAGTGTGAGCTTGGGGAAGGGGCCTCTTGGAAGAGTCCCCTGGCTTGAGGAGGAACCTGGGAGTCAGCTCAGTCCCAGACCCCAGGTACAGTCCTGCCTCCCCGCGTGAGTTGAGTTAGCCCCGTTCTCTTCCCTTCCTCGAATTGGCCGGAATCCGGCTGGTCCAGAACCTACTTCCTGTCTGACTGTGTCCTCGGGTCCCCCAGGGCATCAAGGGGGAGTGGGGGGGCTTGCAACATGCAGAAACAGGCATCTGTGGGGCCCCCTGTAGAGACCCACATTCCTGGGAAAATGGTTTGCTATCAGCTGTCCCTTCAGGTCCCTGCCTGGACTAGTGGAACCTGTTGGACTGGGGTGTTGGGGGCAGGGTGAAGGACATGGAGACCCCAGAGCAGAGTAAGCCTTGGGCTGGTGGGAGCTGAGGTTTAGGATGGACTTGCGTTTCCCCTCCTCCTGCTCAGATGGCTTCAGGGTAGCCAAAGCGTGGCTAGGGGTGCTCTTTCCTCCCCTGGTGCCAGGAGACACCCCACACTCTATTGTTGCTGGTGTTACATGTCTGCCTCCATCCTCGAATCAGAAGTTGAGGGGTCAACTCCTTTCCCAGGGGAGGCTCTTCCCAGGCCCGGAGACCTATGCTCCCTCACTTCGCCAGGGACCCCCCTGAGCCAGGGGCCTCTCACCTTTCTCAAAGCCATAAACCTCGTCCTTCATTCATTGGAAAAAGCCCTCAAACCCCAGTGCATCTCTCTCTCCCTTATAGCTAAAGTTACTGTGTGGTCTCTGTTTCTCTTGCTTCCCCTCCCCCTAGGCTGTATCTGGCCCCCAGCTCCATCTCTGATGAGGAGCCCCAGTTCCTGAATCAGCACCAGTGACCTTTTTTTTGCTCAGCCCAATGGATGCATTTGAGATCCCATCTTGACCTCTGTTGCCTCTGAGGCCACCTTGGGGCTGCTGGCAGCCTGCCTTCTCCATGCACTCCCCTCCCTACTTCCTCAGCATCTTCTGCCTTTTTCTCAGCTTCTCTGGGTGTTCCCTCTCATTCTGCTCCTCAAACATGGCGTCTCCTGCCACCCTCGGCTGCCCCAGGCTAGCTCTTCCTCTGCTGTTTCCTGGAGGCGAGACGCCTGCTGCTTCTCATTGCTTCGCCATCCTTTTAGACTTCAGACTTAAGTATCCAGCATCCTCCTGCCCAACTCCCCAGTGCTGCGGGTGTACCTTCCCCTCATCACGCCCCCAACCGAGGTCCTTGTTCCCACCAGCGCCCCCTTGTGAGTCATGAGGCTAGGGGAAGAGGCCTGGTAGACCCCCTCCTTCCTCATCCATCCACTCACCCCAAGTTCTGAGTTCTTCTTGCCTTTGTCTTCCCACTGACCCTTCTCTCCTCTTCATGTCCCCACCAGGATCAATGGGGCAACTGCCACTTGATTTCCCCCTTCCGTGTCCCTCTTTCCCTGGCTTCTATATTCTAAGACACGAAACTGACCACCTCCAGCTCCTTGTCCAAGGTCAACTTGGACTTGTCCAAGTTCTTGGGACTGGCACGTTGGGCTGTATGGTGCTTCTCCGGCCCTGGCCACCATGGCCCAGCCTCTGTGCGCCTTTGTGTCTGTCCACTTTTGCCTCCTGGTTGCTCTTCTGGGAGTGACCTCTCACCCTCGTCCACCTGGCCTTGGCTCTGTTACTTCTGCCTCTGGGCAGCCCTCCCTGCCCCAGTGGATGTCTGTCTTTGGCATGCTCCTCAGGCTGGCTGAGCACTGTCCGGTCTGCCCAGGGTCCCAGGTCCCCCACAGACTGACCCCCTATGGCAGGGGGACCCCTCTTACACTGGTCACAAGAGAAGCCGAGCTGTCTAGGGCCAGGAGTGGATTTTTATCTTCTGGGAACCTGTGGACAAGGCAGCAGCCTGAGTTGTCTAGGAGAAGTCCAGCTAACCGCTCAAGCCACGATGGTGGGATCTGCCTCTGTCCCCCGTTGCACGGTGGACCTCGCCAGCCCTGCAGCCGGGGCCTTCTTACCCACCTCACTGTCTCGCTGTGGAACCTTGGGCCGCACACATGCCCTCTCTGGGCCCTGGGTCCCATCTGTGAAATGGGGCTGGTAGCCCTTCATCTGGGAGGATGGAGCACGGAGGTAGATTTGCCTCTGGCACTTGGGTCGCCTGCTTCTGCTTCTCAAACAGGGAAACCAAGGTGTGGAGGGAGCATGACCTGATGCAGTGACTCACCGGCGGGTGGCGCATCCAGGAAGCCAGGCCTCGCTGCTGTCACTTTCTCTTGGCTCTCTCTGCCCCTCCCCCCACCTGCAGCGGTTAGGAGGGCACGGAGGGGCCATGGCACTGTTCAGGCCATTGCACGCTGGATAGCTGGACAAATTCTGTAACCTGCATCCAGTGAAAAGGCCTCAGCCTGGGGGCACCAGAGCCCAGCCGGGTCTGGGTTTGGGCTGTGTCCATGCAGGCACCATGCTGGCGTGCCCAGCTGGGATGAGTAGGCCAGGCACGCCCTTCCCACCTGGGCCACCTGATCAGGTTTGCGGGGAGGGGTGGCATCCCCTTGTGTATTCCTCAGAACCCTACATCTGACCTTTTTTCCTGGTGTTTTTGGGTGGTGGGATGAGCCCAGTAGAGACATCGGCCTCCAGGTCCTGGAGGCTCAGAATCTGGGGCTGGGCCCAGCTGTCTTTCTCAAGCGTGAGAGTGATTTCTCAGAGGGGTGCTGGGGAGGAGTTTTGTGGATGGCTGCCGCCCCAGCTGACTGGGCTGTGTGGGTTGGTGTCTCTGCAGAGCGTGGATCATCACGATGAAGCCAGCGAGCCGGAGGCGAGAAGGAACTCCAGCTTGGGCATCGTTGAGAACGGGCACCAGCCTGGGGCAGGTAGGGGCAGACAGCGGAGGAGGGATGGATGGGTAGAGGTGGGGGTCAGAGCATCTCTGCCGGGCCATCCTTAGACCAGGAGGGGGGACTCGGACCCGAACCCCAACTAGTAGAGAGGTAGCCAAGAGGGCAGCCTCATTCAGCATGAAGTAGAACTTTCTCAACACAGGCCAATGGGAGCTACCTGAAGACGGTGGGCTTCGCCCTTCTTGGAGGAATGCAGGCAGGCCTGGGAGCTGTCTGCGCCCTGAACCAAGCTGAGAGTGGACTGATAAGCCGACTAGTATTTATTGAGCTGGCTGGGAGGGGAAGTTAGAGCAGATGTCAACTCTAGTCTAGTTTGGGCAGTGAGAGCTCCCGGGCGGGGGGTGGGGGGGATGGTGTCAGTGAGGCCTGGAAGGGGGTGCAGAGGGCTCAGGGAGCCAGAGACCACCTGGGACACTGAGTCTCCTGTGGAGGCATGGCTGACTCCACTCCCTGTCCTCACTGGTCATATGTTCCAGGTCCAGATGATGGGCTCCCCGAGGTCACCCAAACCTCAGCACCAGACACCCCCAAGCCTCGCCCCGCGAGCCTCTCCTTGCGGCTGCCGCACCAGCCGGTCACGGCCATCACACGAGTGTCTGAGAAATTCTCTGGGGAGACATCAGCTGCAGTTCTATCACCCACGTCTGCTACCTTCCTCAGCCCCAGCCCCAGTGAGGCCACCATACCCTGGACTCCTAGTCCCAGTGGTAAGAACAGGAAAGCATGGTTGGGGGGGGGGGAGGCGAGCAGACCCTACCCGGAGGTGGGAGGGCTGAGGGGATTGGCAAGAGTCTCAGATAACCTGGACCCAAGCCCCAGCCCTACCAATGTCTGCCCTGCACCCCAATCCCTAGTCCATCTGCACCGTCAAATGGGGCCCATGGAGACAGCCAGGGGTCTACTATAGGCCAAGGCTGTGGTTAGAAGTAGTCTCCTGCCCTGTATGGGCCCTCTCGCCAGGTCCCTCCAGGGCTGTCTCTGGGCCTGTGGTCAGGCCTCATGGTATGTCCTGGGATGGGCCTCAATGGGTTTCCAAAATAGAGTTTCGGGCATAAAGCGTTTGTTCCCTGGATACACATCATAGGTGACCTGCACCCTGCAGGAAACTTTTGTGTTCCTATTTTCTCTCCTTCCCAACTATTGGCTGAGCTCAGCCAGGGACCCTGCTGCTCTGAGTGATGCTGTGTAAACAGGGCAGGCCTTGTCAGAGGCAGGGAGGTGGGGAGGTGGGCAGAGTCTGGTTCTCACCAGGCCCAGGCTTTATTATTTCTCTTTTCCTTTGTCCAGCAGAGAAAAACGTGTCTCTCCCAAGGAACTTCTCGAGCTCTGGCTACGGAGCAGTGATGGCAGGCAGGGCCAATGACAGGTGAGCCAGGGCTGTGTCCCCAGTGGGAATGCTTCTCTTGGACCCAGGCTGCCCAGGTCCCCTGCAGGGAGCTCCCTGTGCTGAGCCCAGTGGGAGGCACCCTCCTTGTTCGGGGGTGCGAAAGAATAGTGCAGCAGAGTTGCTGGTTGGGACTTGAGCAGGGGAACTGAGACAGTGGGTCTTGGTGGGAGGTTCATCTTGGTAAAATGTGACTGTAGGCTGTATTTCTCTATGAGCAAAAGATTTTGTCGGGGAGGGAAGAGGTGACTCAGTTGCTATGGGAAGAAGGGTAGGAGAGTTTCCTGGTTTCCGCTTTATCCATCCTGGCTGCTGGAGGCCTTCAGAACGGGGCGTTTTCCTGCCTGTGGAGTGAGGCCTTGCCTGGAGAGGCTGTAGGCTGGGCCAGTGTTCATGATCTTCCCTGTGGTCGAGGCCACCTCCTGGCCTGTGATTGTTGCTGTCTCGGGGGTGGGGGGGTGGGGAGGGTGAGTGGGTTTTGGCTCTTTCTTTTTTTTTTTTAATAATGAAAGAATTGTGACTTTTTGGCAAACTTTTTCAGGGGGGAGCCAAAGGGGCCATCTCTTGTGGTGGCAGAGGAGGGCCTGGTCTGGTGGGCTGCTTCTAGGCATCCCCCTGCCCAGGAGAAGGCCATGGCAGCAATGACACCTGCCGGGGCGGGTTTGGAGGGGGGGGCTGCTCTCCCTCCCCAGGTTGGGTCTGTTGGCCAGGCCTGCTTCAGACCTCAGATTGGTTCAGAAAACCTGCCCAACCGGTTAGGGTCTGGAGCAAATGGCCCTTCATTTCTGTCTGCCTGGTTTCTGCACTCTGTGGGGAGGGGTTTCTGGGGCCTTTGTGGGCCTGAGATGGCTGAATCTGTGTTTCTGACTCTGTGGTTCTGCCCTCAGCCCACCTATGGTGACGCCACCCCAGTCGCCCCCATCACCACAGCCGCCAGCCCTGACTCAGACCCATCGCCCGGGGGAGCGTCGCAGGGAGCTGGTGAGGTCTCAGACCCTGCCTCGCACCTCTGGGGCTCAGGCCCGGAAGGCGTTGTTTGAGAAGTGGGAGCAGGATACCGCTGGCAGGTACGGTTGCTCACTCCCCAGAATAGGCCTAGACCCTGACCTGGGCAGGCGGGGGTGGCAGAGCTGACCCCATCTTGTCTCTCAGGGCCCTTCCCCAGCATACGACCCCACAAGGTCAGAGCTGGGCTGCAGGGTCGGCTGGGGGGCAGGGCAAGGGGCCAGGCGAGGCCCGCTCAGGACCCCTTGCCTCTCGATTCCCAGAGAGGCCCAGCGCTGCCGCACCCTGGTTCTGGATTACAGCGCCTTGGCTTTCCCGGTGTGACTGGAAGGGCAGTCTGGAAGGGTTGGGATTCCTGGCAGGAGCTGGGAGGCCACTCAGTGGACCTGGAGTGCCCCCAGCCCACTCCCCCTCAGTGCTGGGTCTGCCTCTGCACGTCTCGCCCCTCCTGCCAGTGCCTGTGGGGTGACGAGGATGACCCCAGGCCCTGCTTGCTCCCAGACTCTGACTCTGGCCGGGGAGGAGACCCTGGAAATGTCCCCAGTGACCCAGAAAACTTAGAGTCGTGTCTTATCCTTAGGACCCACCCAGAGGAGCCAGGACAGCTAGCCTCCTGCAGGGCTTACACAGGGGACCTGGAGGAGGCAAGGGGGTTTGTCCTGCCGGATGCCGTCAGGAGCAGGAGGCTGTGAAGCTGGCCAGTAGGGGAGACAGGGGAGGCCATGAGCTGTCAGAGGAGCTCCCCAGGGCGAGCAGAGTGGGGGGCCTCTCTCAGATGCTGTGAGAGTGGCTGGGGACACCCTGCCTCTCAGAGGACCTGCAGTGCGGGGCAGCCCCCAGCCCCCACAGCAGGCCTGCCCTCTGCCCGCAGGGGGAAGGGCGAGGCCCGGGCGAAGCTGAAGCGGTCACAGAGCTTTGGCGTGGCCAGCGCCAGCAGCATCAAGCAGATCCTGCTCGAGTGGTGCCGCAACAAGACCCTCGGCTACCAGGTGAGCCAGGGCCTGCCCGGCCCGGACCCCTGTCGGGAGCTTGACCAACTGCTGCCCTCTCCACTGTCTCCAGGCCAAGGCAAGCCTGGAGGTGGGCATGGGTAGAACTAGAGAAATTGAGTCTCCAGGGCTCCCTGAGCGTCCGCTTACGTACAATGTGTACACGAGCAGGCCTCGTGTGCTGACTGGGGGCCTGGCAGCTGCAGTCTGTTGCTGAGCTGGGTGGATGTGGGCTTTGGGCTGGGCTCGGAGTTATCTGCTCGTGGAGCTGAATTGGCGGGGGCACGGCAGCCCCCAGCCCCCACACTGCCCTTGCCTCGAATCTCCCCTTGCTTGCAGCACGTGGACCTGCAGAACTTCTCCTCCAGCTGGAGTGATGGCATGGCCTTCTGTGCCCTGGTCCACTCCTTCTTCCCCGACGCCTTCGACTACAGTACCCTGAGCCCCACGCAGCGACAGAAGAACTTCGAATTGGCCTTCACCATGGCAGAGTGAGTATGCTGGTCCCGTCGGCTGCCAGCAACTGGCCTTGCCCCCTGGCTTGACCTCTGTCCTCGTGGAACCGGGGGCAGACGGGACTGGGGCTGTGCTCTGCAGAATTTGGGACCATGAGGTCATCAGTCTATCTGCTTCTTGTACAGATGGAGAGGGAGGTCTGTCCAGGAGGGATTTGCCTGGGTCACTGGTGGTCGATGGTGCCTCTTCCTGGTGTATCTGCCCTCTGCTGAGTGTCCCGCTTCTGGTGGTCACCTTGGTGACCAGCCACAGACAGGGTGTGTGAATGACCACAGCTGACGATCAGCAGGACACTGAATAAAACCTCCCTGGATGACGTAAAAAAAAAATACGTACATTCTGCCTCCTAGATAGCACGTTAGTGCTGATAGGAAGTTACCGACTTTCCTGAGTCTGCTCACAGGGAGAAGGCTGCGTGCAGGGGCGGTTCTGGGATTGGAGGCAAGGGGGAAGCCAGTTTGGGTTCAGTTATTGGGCAAATCCTGGAGTTTCTAGTGTAGGGACATGTCAAGAGTCCAGAAAGGGACAGATGGCACATTCAAGGTGAGTCAGTCCGAGCATTTCAGAAAGGGGCTGTTTACAGAGGTGTAGGTGGGAAGAGGAATGGCCAGGAGTCCTGTGGCAGCCGGAGGCGACTCGCCTGACATTTTTGGAACTTTGGAGAGCGGCTGGATGGAGAGACCTGGCTGAGAGAGCTAGTTTGGGGCAGTGGATCGTAACAGCCATGGTGACCTGGCTGGGAGCAAGCTGGGGAGTAAATGCTCTGCCCTCACCCTCCTCCTGCCTGCACACTGGGCTTCCTGTGGGCTGAACCCAGCGGGAAGGCAGGTGGAGGCCATTGCTTTTGTCCGTTGCAGCCTCCAGCTAGAGGCCCAGGCGCTGAGGAGGGTGTTGAGCTGGATGCTGAGCTTCATGGAATTTCAGAGAGGAAGGTCTGGGGAAAGGAAGGCCCTCTCACAGCTGAGGCCTGCAGGAACACTGACCGTTCCCTCCTGCCCAGGCCGCTCCGTGCCCGGGGCGTCAGCCTCGGCGATCAGTCGGGCCGTGACTGACCACAGGCGATCCTAGCCTGCGTCTCGTCTCCTTGCCCCGCTCGCTCGGGGCGCTGCTCTCCTGTGCTTGCTGAGTCGAAAGAGCGCTCCCCTCAGGCCCTGCCTGCTTCCTCACTCCATTCCCACCTCACCGCCCAGCCCCTCGCAGCCCCTGGTGCCCAGCCCAGCCTGGCGCGGGAAGAGGGGGGGGTCAGCAGTTTACGAGCCCCACACTTGGTATTGTGGTCCTGCCTCGCGCTCATGTCTAGAGCAGCCACCCATGTCTAGAGCAGCTGCCTCGCCCACGGGGCAGAACAGAGACCCTGGCTCTGAGCTCCCTGGCCTGAGTTCCTGGAATCTCGATATTGTCCCCATTCTGTTGTCTCGGATGACGTGCTCGGACTCTCGGGCCCCTTTGGGGTCATAAGAACTCCTTGTATACTTTAAAAGCCTTCTCTTTCTTGGCTGCTTGGGATTAGCTGTCATCCTAATTGCAGAAACAGCTTTGGATGGAGTGTGTTATGCAACTGGATCCAGACGATGGGGAAGCAGAGCCAAGTGTAACGGCATGGTGCTGGGGAGGGGCGCCCACCAGGAGGAGGTCCAGCTGCTTGAAGCCTAGATATGGAGACTGTCAAAAACCAGACTGTCAGAGTCTGCAGTGCCGGGGCTCTGACGAGGGTGCCCCTAGACCCATCCCAGCCTTTGAGGCCACATTTGGCCGCAGAGCTCCCCATTAGGTCCAGTGGGCCACACCGTGCCAGCTCATGCCCTGGCCGCCTCCATCACCCTTAGCACTGCGCCAGGCCGGGCTGTGGCCAGGAGCGAGAGGCCCTGGGCCACAGGGTGGTGGCCACGCACACCCACTTGAAGGGAACACAGCTTTCTTGGCAGCGGGGCCAGGGCAGTTCATGGCCTGTGTTTCTGCACAAGGTTTGAGCTCACGTAGCCTTCAGACTCCAAACAGATGTTTCTTCTATTCCCAGCCTTAGGGGCGGGGTGGTGAAGGAGTGATGGAGGCTCTTCCTCCTCCCCAGAGCAAACAGCCTGGTAGAAATCTTGGCCCTGCTTCCCTGTGGCCTGTGCCTACTCCTGGCTGGGGAGGGGCAGACGGTCTGCTGGCACCTGAGATGAATTCTGCTCTTTTCTGCTGACTTGAGGGGTGGGGAGGGGGTACCAGTAGCAGTCCAGTGTGGGGAACCTGTTGGAGCAGGGGAAGGTGGATGGGGGAGAGGAATGGGAGTTTGAGCTGCCTGCCCGAGGCCTCAAGGGCAGACAGTAGCTTGGAGCATCCAGCTTCGTGGAGACTAGGCTGGTCAGAAAAGCTGGGAAGAAAGCTCAGGGATACCTGCTTGTGGATTCTGGGGACCAGTGTCTTCGCCACCCTCCCTCAGGCTTGCTGGCAAAAGCCAGCAGACACCAGGGCTGTGGAAGCCATCAAGAGCCACGCAAGTGGCAGGACGAGCCAAGAATGGCAGTTTTTTTTTTTTTTGGGGGGGGGGTGCTCAGGCAGTGGGGGCTGGGGGAAGCAGGGGTGCACTCTTTGGAAGGGAAAAGAGGGCACTGGGTCCCCCAGCCATCAGTCCCCCTCACATGAGGAGGTGGACACTTTCAGACCCTTCTAGGAGCAAGAGCCTTAAAGGCACAAAGATGCCGCAGGAGCCTGTGGAGTCAGAGTGGCTTGTGCTGCCCCTCCCCTCAGTAATTTATGGTCCCAAAGATTCCCTGTGGCTAATCTGCATGAGGGATGCGGTGTTGACAGCAAAGCGACCTCCCCTTGTGGGACAGGTGTTCAGGGCTTGGACAGCAGAAGGGGCAGCCCCTTGTAGGGCAGGGAGCTGACCCTCTGCTCCGGGCGCAGTGCAGGCCAGAGCTGGACACGTGTCCGCAGCTCCCGCTTGCCCTGCAGGGAATGTGCCCTGCTCTCGGGTTACACGAGCAGAAGGGGCTTCCAGGCTATTTGTAGTGCCCATGTGTCTCTGTCTAAAACCAGACAGGAGGCGGTCGTCGGAGCCCTGGCACCCTGCTCTACATTTAGAGGAGGCTTACACAAATAAAAATAGCCCCTCAAACACCAAGATCACAATAGACAGCGGAGGAGAAAGCCCTCCAGGCAAGGTGAAGCTGTTTGAAGATGGTAGTAGTGGACATTGGCCCTGGCCCTTGCTGGGCGGTGGCATCCCAAGCATTCGAGCTTTTCTCCTTTGTGCTTAGACCATTGCTACAAAGGCATGTTGTTTTCTTTCTCCTTTTTAATTTAAAAGGCATTTGGGGCCACTATTATCTTGAGACAAATATTTTTATGGAAGTCCACGCTGACCGACACTTTCCTTTTCTCACTGCCTGTCTCCTGAGTCTTCTTGAACCTGTGGCTGCAGCTTCTGGGAACCTTGTTGTTACTGTTGCGGCGGGGTGGGCTGGGGAGCAGCTGGCTGTGACCTTGTCCCCTGGTTGCTTGCTGGGGATGCCAATACCTTGCCTAGAGCGTCCTGCCAGCCTAAGGCCTTAGCTCCCATCCTGACTGCAAGCGCGTGCTGCCTGTACTGGGCAGAGATGTCACAGTCGGAGGGTAAACGCAGCCTCCGGAAGGAAGGTGGGGGGGGACGCTCTCTCTGCACAGGTGGGACATCACCACAATTCTGGGTGCCCTCTGTGAAGAGGGCTCCAAAGAAACTAGAACCAGCTCAGAGGGGTGTGTCCTAGGTACGCTTTGGGGTGGGGGTCGGGGGGATGCAGGAACCAGAGAGAGTTCCAGGGAAAGTCATGAATATGACAGCTCTCTTCCAACATAGGGAGAGCTCTTTTGTGGGGAAATAAATAAAACGGAGGACCAATAGATGAGCATAAGGGGGAACTCACGGCTGTCTGCAGAGGGTTGAACTGTCCTGGGGAATTTCGGTCCCTCACAGGTTGGTGCTTCTGTTGGGGGTGTCGGGGGTGGTAATAGTGCAGCTCCTCTCCAGGCTGATGTCCAGGGTTCTGGTGCCACCCTCATCAGGAGGGGGACTGCCCAGGCCACACTGTCAGGGAGCTTGCAGAGCCCTGGGAGAGAGGGAGGGAGGAAGGGAAGGTGCACGCTGGTGCTGAGATGAGAGGAAGAGGCTCCAGTTTAAGTGCCAGTGCGGGATGGTGAACTCGGAGCCCCATCTCTCTGTGGAACTCAGATTTTCAATCTGTGACACCTGCTAGGCATCTTTGCATGCCTGCCCTCTTCAGAGCACCTCTTCCTTGACTCAAGCCCTGCCCTGTCCTGTCCTGGGGAGTGAGGAGGCCCTTTCTTTGGGCCAACCCGCCCCCTTGCCACCCTACAAAGCCACTGGACTCTCTTACTGACTCCCCACTCTAACCCAAGGGAGAGGCTGAGAGGGTATGGGCAGAGGTCCTCCAGCTGGCCCCACAAGACAGGATACCCTGCACGTGTTGCCGTGCTTGTCTTTGGAGCGTTAGGAACTGCTAGGAAGTGCTCTGTGATTCATGCAGGCTAGCTCCCGAGCTCTGGGGTGTAAGACACAACCTCCCTCCCTCCGAGAGGGAGCAGAGGCAGGAATCTGATGTTCTGTTGAAGAAATTGCACTGATGGAGACTCCCTGGTGGCAGCGAGTTAAAGACAGTGCTATCAAGCTATCATCAGCCACTGCAGCATGAGTTCGATCCCCAGTCAGGGAGCTGACCCATGTGGCTCAGCAGACCTCTCCTGACCCACCTGCTGCTCCCCTCAGCAGTGTATTTCAGTACATCTGCCTGTTCTGGTGAATCCTTTCACACACCCCCAGGGCACCTCTGGCCTATGCCCAAGTTCTTGCATATATAAATAAGTAAATATTAAAAACAAAGTAAATTGTACTGAAATGTGAAGTGATCGGCAGGGCCAGGGCTCGCTTCTTCAAGTGAGGCACGATCATAAAACCAGTGACAGCCTCTTGATGTTTCTTGAGCTCCTATTTTATGCCAGAATGTTCACCTGGGTCCTGTGGCCTAGCTCATAAGCTCTGGGCCACCTTGAGAAGTGGCTATATTTCCAGATGGGGAAACTGAGGCCAAGAGAAACTAAGTATGTTGCTCGAAGTCATAGTAAGGCTGGAGTGGGGATGCGAAATGAAACAGGGTAAGTCGAGTCCTTGTTCATGTATGGAAAGACGGGACTCCGGGAATGACGTAAGTGCCCACAGCTATTGGAGAAATGACGTTGTGGATTGTCCCAAATTATTCACTCTAGCCCTTTCGGTTCTGCCTGTTGATGGCAGGCCAGCCACGTCTCAGGCCTGGGGGACGCTGCTGGTGCCACTTGAAACCCACGTTTTATTTCAAGACTCAGTACTGAGGTAGGCGCTGGGATGTTTGGGGCCAGGGATTCACCTCCCACCTCCAGAGACCCTGGGACCCAGGCCTCGCCCACGCCTCTGTGAACAGCAGCTGGTGACCTGTGCGGAGCCCAGCCAGAGGCCTGCTCTCCGTGATCTCCACGTTAGCAGGCCAAAGTCCAGCCCGTGTTTCCCAGTGCAAGGCACAGGCCCTGGGGGAGGGGGCGGGCATGAGGTGATTTTTTTCTGAGTTGTGATTCTTAACTACATAGTCAGGTTAGCTCACTGGATCATGACCAGCATTTTCAAAAAAGCTAGGAGAGGGAAAAGAGATGATGGCAGAAAAAAATGAAATAGAAAAATATTGGTAGTAGAAAGGCCAGTAATTTGAGTAGCTTTATTTGTATACCTATGTTTGTGTGTGCTGAGTCATGGTTAAAAACCTCTAACTGTGGATCATGACACACACACACACACAAAAATAGTTTCAGAGGCTTATGGGAAAGTTTGACTTTTATTCATTTTACATTTATTTTTATCGTTCATCCTGATTTTCTGTAAATTGCTGCTAGATACTGAAATTTTAGGGACTTTTAAATAAAACGTTTAAGTGAAATCATGTTTTTATTTATAAAATAATGACTAAATTACTACAATTAAATTTTTAGTGGAATTAGTTAACTTTTTTATTTATCTCTTCTTTATTTTTTTAAAGATTTTTTTATGCATACAGGACTGGGGTATAGGCCAGTGGTGTGGGGATGGTGAGAGGATTCACTAGAGACAGAGTGG